CAGTCTCCCTTTGCGCAAGGCCAACACTTCAGCTACTCCCATCTTGGCTTTGATACATCTTTTCCTAGCCTGTAAAGGTAAAGGTAAAGGTTCCCCTTTACATTTTGTTGTAAGCCGCCTAGAGTGGTCTTAATTGACTAGATAGGCGGGATATAAATACAATAAATAAAATAAATAAATAAAATTGTGTTCATGTATGTGTGCCTTTGCATGCATGTGCCAGTGACGAAGATGCAACGTCCGTCCACACTGAAGTTCTGTTCAGACCATCAAGGAAAATAGCTGACGGCTGAAGAATAACAACTGTAGAACTCAACTTTTAAAAGGGTGGGATTAGAAAGCAGACCCACTGAAAAAATAAGGGCTGTCGCTATCAAATAGAGAAGGCTAGAGTGTGAATTATTAGAAGTAGTTCTGCTGTGATCAGTCTGTTGCTGCTTTATAATTTCTGTAAAAATTTTCAAGGTATCCATTTTCAGCCAGCTCTTACCAACCATCATTACAATAATACTGAATTATGATGAAAATAATAAGTTGCCAATGAATTTATTTCAGAGCAGGAGTTTAAAGCTTGGCTTGTCACACTGAGATCTGACCCGCTGTTGCTATTCTAGTCCCATTTTTATTTTTAAATTTAACTGGGAAAGAACACATTCTATTTTAAAGGAGTAATGTACTTGAAGGTACTTTAAGAAGGGTATAGAGATCAGCCTGTTGCAGCAAGAATAATAAAGAGTATCGGAGCATCCCAAAGACTAGCATATTTTATTTGGCATTAGCTTTTGTGGATCTGATTAAATGAGCTGCATAAAAGCTTATGTCCATGTGACACTAGACATTTTGTTCTTTACATCTGAAGACCTTGGTATGATTTTTGTGCCGTAATTTGTATGCTTACCGAGTACAGCTACACTATAAACTTACAGTAGGTTATATGCCAAACTATTGTTCCACATTGTTCAACAATTCTTCTACATAGCTCATGACGACTCCAAGCAATTTCTCATTCAAGAACTCAGGCAGACCCAAACACGCTTTATTTCAAGAAAACTACTACCCCGTGTACATTCAGATTGTGCCTTTTGACGGTGGCTTCCCCCAAGAATCCCGAGGCTTGTAGTTCAGTAGAGGGGCTGAGAATGGTTTCTCCCTACGGCACCTCATCCGCTGTAGACTTCTAGCTCCCAGGATTTAGTGGCATGAAGGAATGCAGTCAAGCAAATTTGATAACACCCTTAACAATGTACTCAAACATTGAATTGGATGGCTTTCATTTCTCTACACAAAATTCCATTTCAGATGTTGATAAAAATTACAGAAAGTTCAAGAGATGCAGGCATGCCTTTAGTATTTACTGTTCTGCAAAAGCAGAGACGGGTGAGGGATAGCAGGCGTCTTGAAGCAATGGGCTTGAAAGTGATACGAAAATGTTACTAACGTTAAAATACTAATATTAAGTTACCCTTCATTTTCTTATACATTTTGTTACTATTTCTCTCTCAGCTCCCCATACATTATTGCTAGTAATACTACTATAGCTTCTACTGTTATTTATCTGTTACACACACATACTGTACAGTGTGTGTGGTGGGGGAGAGAGGGAATAATCTCTCTCTCTCTCTCTCTCTCTCTCTCTTCTGCTTTTGTATGCATTGACAATGTAAATTGCCTGAACTTCTGGTATAATTCAGTGAACGGTGGGTTATAAAGATCTTAAATAAATAAATAAATGCTCAGCATTGGTATCTGACCAAAAGTCAATCAAAACAACGGAGTACTTTTGTTATCTTTTCAGACAATGCTGTCCTCTACCTCTACCTCTACCTAAAATGTAAATGCCACATATACCCCCCCCCCCGCTTTTGTCATTTTAATTCTGTAGTTTTGGACGTTGTGTGGAAATGCCTTGACGGCCAAAAGAGGAATCTTTGGCAAAGCAGGAGACCTGCAAACTATCCTCTGTTTGTCCTGTGCAAAAGACGACGTTACATACTCTGGTGCTTTAAATGGAGACATTTATGTCTGGAAAGGGCTCATGTTAGTCCGCACGATTCAAGGAGCCCATGGTGTAAGTTGCCTTCTCTGTGTTAATTTCTGGAAATAAGGTGTGCTCCCTCAGCCCTGTCAGTTGTGCTACTGATGTTACCGTATTTAGAAACTTTACTCTCTGTCATACCTTAAGGGCTCTTAAAGGGCTCTTCAGGCATGACAATGACATTGATTCACATGATGCTCTGTAGATACTATAATCTCATCAATATTCCTTCACTATATCTTGGGTCGAGGATGCCGAAAGTGTTCCTTGTAGCTATGACATGGATATTGCTGTTCTGAAAGTCATCTTGACAGATATTAAAAGCTTCTGGATAAGAAAGTGTCCTTCAGATCTTCTTTAAGAGGATTTCTTGCCAGGATGTCAAATTCCAAGGGATTAAAATTTTCACTTTTTGTTTAAAAAAGTGGCATTGCATCCCAATTTCTGGAGCATGGTTTCGTTAAAACTGGAGAGGTAAAATGAATGTGATGCCAATGTGACTTTTTTTTCGTGACCCCCTTCCTGCCTTCTGTTATATGAACCACAATAAGTGCATGGAGCTCAGTGCATATACAGCTATAGGACAAATTGTACATGCAATAAAAACATGTACCATATTTTTCGCACCATAAGACACACTTTTTCCCCACAAAACGGGGGGGGGAAGTCTGTGCGTCTTATGGAGCGAAGAAAACAGATTATATTTTCCTGTTTTCTTCTCCTAAAAAATTGGTGCATCTTATTGTTCTTGTAATGATGAGACAGGAAACAGTATGTAACCTTGTAACGCAGGCCTCCACGCGCATGCTACTTCTATAGTCACAAATAGTAGTTACACAAATAGTACACATGTCACAATGGGGATTTTTATGCACAAGTTGCCACTCAGGCAACTTCCACTTGTTACAATGGGAACAGTTACTTGGAGGGACTCCTATATGCCCTACATGGACCATCCCAACATTACCTATATAGAACAACAAAGCATCTCTGTCTGTAACAAATATTTGTTCTAAACCAAACATCCACCAATATTAGTTCTGTCAACATATGTAAGTTCACACTTTTGTTCAGTCCCAGAGTCAAGGTGGGTAAAGTATTTATCTTAAAGTATTTAAGGTAAATGCATATTCCCTGGGATTAGCTGTTTTCACTTCCACAAGGTGATATTTCCAGTTATACAAGACTGGGCATGTTTTGTAAATAGGAGTTAATATGAGCTAATTGTATAGGCTAGTTTGACCCCACACCAGGCAAAGCTTCCGTGATGGCTGAAATAACATATTAAACATTATGTTGGTTACCATGGTAGTTATAAGATAATGGCTAAAATCTTCTTGCTTCATGTAATAAATTGCACAAGACTAGACCCATTAATCTGTGAAGATTTGGTGAGACTCCTCCCTAAATTCCGTTGTTTCAAATTGACTTGCTTTTGTTGAAACTTACTACACTAAAGTAAGTTGTAACTGGCTTAAGTCCATTTGATTCAATGGGGACTTAACTCATCAAGTCCCCATGGATTCAGTGGTGGGCCTACTGAAGTGCATCTTACTACACTAAACAATAGGATTTCAACCTATGTTGTGTTTGCTTGCTTGGTTAAATACTTGACCAGTTCAGGTAGCCATTGATTTCAGGTGGGACATCACTCCCTTTCTTATCTTACTGGGGCAATCCATTTAGTGTGTGCAACTGTTTGTACAAATTAATCTCAGGTTCATTACTAAGTGTGAAATCCACATTAATTCCCATGGTTTGGCTATTGTTACCTTGTATACGATAATTGAAATATTCACAGCCTGATAGCCTGTTCCATTATTAACAAACCACAGTAATTTTGTCCATTATCTGTATCCCCTCCTGCTCATGGGGATCAGGTATAAATGTAATATAGTCTCGCTCTGAAGTCTGAGGAAGTGGATTTGATCCACAAAAGCTCACATTAAAATATTCTAGTTAAGTCTTTAAGTTGCCATATTTCTGTCTCTTTTGGGTTGTTGGTTTTTTTTGAGTGGGATTGTCTAACATTCCTGTGTATCTGTTCTGTATACACAATACACAATTTCCAGAGCATTAACTGAGGAGTTGCTTTGAGTTTTCCCAAGCGTGTATGAATAAATTTATTTTTGTTTTCATTTTTCTTTGTGTATATTTTTACTCTGAACAGGAATACATAAAAATTAACTAGGAGACACCAATAGCAATTAACTGCAAATCAGATTAACAGATTGTTATCCAAGAGTAGAAAACCACAGGCCAGTTTTCTAATATGCCTGTTTTCCAATCTGCCTGGGGTCCTTTGGCAAGCCGCACATTTCACTACCAGCAGGGCATGCTTGGCTATGCTGAACCACATGTTTAAATAGTCAAAAGCTAATTTTCTGCCAGAGAACGCTCTCAAAGGAGACTCTGTTGGAAAGGTTTTGCCCCTGACAGCAGATATGTGACGGAGTGATCAAACTGAGAGGTTCCAAAAATGCTGGGAGTATCATATGAAAAAAAGAGAGTATATTACCCACTCAGTAGTATGAAATTTGTCCCTTTGTGAACATACTTGTGATTCAAAATTCAAAACTACTGTGTTGTTAATTTGCAGGCTGGAATTTTTAGCATGTATGCCTGTGAGGAAGGCTTCGCAACTGGGGGGAGAGATGGCTGCATTCGGTTATGGGATATTGATTTCAAACCAATAACTAAAATTGATCTCAGGGAGACTGAACAAGGATACAAAGGTAATAAAATATAAATTGCTTAATGAAATCTCCATTGAAGTAATTATTGGATTATGGCTTAATATTGTATAACATAATGCTTTGTTATTTATTATTTTTTATACAGTACTTTGTAAAGTCATAAATTCTTGCTGTTATGATGTGCCATCAAGTCAGAGCTGACTTTTTTTACTGATAGGGCTTTCAAAGTAAGTGAGATATTTAAGGAGTGGTTTTACCAGTTTAACTTCACTAGTGAGTTCCCTTGGCCGAAAGGGGATTTGAATCCAGGCTTCCTGACTCCTAGGCCACCACTTTGTCCACTACACCAGTGGGTCCAAACCTTCTTGACACCAGGGACCGGTTTAGTTGAAGACCATTTTCCCAAGGACCATGGGGGGTGGCGGGCATCCATCTGTGTGTGCGTGCGGGGTTCATGCATGCATGTGGGGGTGTGGGGGGTGCATGTGTGCATGTGGCAGGTGGGTGGGCATCCATGCACACTTGCGGGGTGTGTGTGGGCATCTGTGTATGTGAGCAGGCATACATGTGGAAGCCGGGCAGGCAAGTGTGCGTGTGTGCAGGGTGGGGCGGTCAGGTGTGCGTGCATGCATGTGTGCATGAGTGTGGGTGGGCAGGAGTGTGCCCCCCCACATATGCATGCATTCCTTCAGCCCTAGAAAATCTGTCTCAGTGGCCTGGTCCTTCCAAGGTATTGGTCTGCTACCCGGGAGTTAGGGACCCCTGCACTACACCACAATGGGAATGATATAAGTTCTTGCTTTGAATTCAATCCTTATTGTTGACCCTGAGGAGCTATTAGAATAGAATATGCATGTCATGCTTTTCCCCCCATCATCTGCTAATTTACCTTTAACTGGAAATGTCAAGGAGGGAGTCTAGGATATTTTTCCTGCACATATTCCTAATAAACGGATAATAATGCACAGGTATACTGTATATGGAAAAATACAGATTCTTATTCTTCCTGAAATGTATTCTGCCCCAACCTTAACATGTGAAACTGCAAATGCATTTAGGTACCATGAACCTACAATGAACCAAGCCTGGAATAACTGGGAATTAATGTTTCCTTTTTAATGTTCCCTTTGATAAAAGCTTATTCTTTAAAACGTGGTAAGCAAATACGGTTTATTCTATGTGCAGGGGATTTTTGATCCTTTCTGTAGTGCAGCCTCGTCCTCCTAAGCCTAAATACATTCATCCCAATGTAAGAAGAGAACAAATGACTGCTTGTGATTATGGGCTTACTCTGGTAATCCTGATGCTGATACAGACAGAGATTTGTCTCTAGGTGTTTGCGACATCCCCACAAAAGTGGTGTTCAGCTTGGGTCCCTGTAAAGATGCAGGGTGTATTTGGTGAGGAGGACAAGTAAGGCCTCATTTCCGTATGGGGCCAGACTGGGGCTGTTCACTGAAGTCAGGAGTCTCTGAAAGTAAATACATCAGCCTATAGCTGCTGCCAGAAAAGAACAACTCATTCTGACCTCTGCTAGTTTTAAATTTGTTCTATGTTTGAAGTGCCACAGAAAAGCTGTCACTAGTGAATCCAGTGAATGGTAGAAAAGGCAAGCTGGATCATGATCATATTTAATTGGAAGTTACAAGAACTAGCTCGTTTCTCCTAGCAGCTGCCATGGCTTACAGGCTGAGGTGTCCATAGAAACATGGTGGTTGAACTGTCTGTATGAGCTGAGCTTGTGAATTCTTTGTACTGGTTGTCCAGTAATGTGTATTAAGATTGGCACATAAGACATGCTAACCCACCTCCGATTATATGACACTTTCCTGTACAAAATTATGCTGTTGGTTCATCTAGCCCATTATTGTCTCTTTTTCTGGACTGGCAGCGACAGTCACCTGACTGTCTTCAGGTGATTTTCTAGCTTCTTTGTATGAAGAGTTTGCAAGATCAAAAGTAAGTAGAGAAAAGCAATAAACCGTATTTGCTTACCACGTTTTAAAGAATAAGCTTTTATCAAAGGGAACATTAAAAAGGAAACATTAATTCCCAGTTATTCCAGGCTTGGTTCATTGTAGGTTCATGGTACCTAAATGCATTTGCAGTTTCACATGTTAAGGTTGGGGCAGAATACATTCCAGGAAGTATAAGAATCTATATTTTTCCATATATACCTGTGCATTTTTACCTGTTTATTAGGAATGTTACCAGCCCAAATACACCTGATCTTGTCATTTAGCTGGAAAGCAGGGTCCTACCGAATTACTACTTGGATGGAGACCACAAGGGAAAAAAACAAAGGCGAGGAAACAATCTTGCCTAATAATCTGGATGACTTCTGCCAGCTAGACTAGATACTTTTAGACTAAATAGATCAATGGCATACGTCAGTTTCCTAGGTTATGTCTGTCTAAAGACTAGAGCATCTATTTGGTGCAAGCTTTTGGAGACTGGGTGGCGCTGCTGGTTAAACTGCAGAAGCCCCTGTGCTGCAAGGTCAGAAGACCAGCAGTCGTAAGATTGGATCCATTTTACAGAGTGAGCTCCTGTCACTTGTTCCAGCTCCTGCCAACCTAGCAGTTCGAAAGCATATAAACATGCGAGTAGATAAATAGGTACCACCTAGGTGGGAAGGTAACGGCATTCTGTGTCTAGTTGCACTGGCCACGTGACCACGGAAACTGTCTTCGGACAAACACTGGCTCTATGGCTTGGGGACGGGGATGAGCACTGCGCCCTAGACTCGGACACGACTGGACTAAATGTCAAGGGGAACTTTTGGAGACTGGAGATGCTTCTCTCTGTGTCCATTCATCTCCGTATCATTCTGTCTCTCTGGAGAGTCACAGAATTTGTTTCTAGAGTAAGATATACATACATAGAGTTATGGACTATCCTTTGATTGTGCTGTGGTACTTGAAATTTTGGAAGTCTCAGGAGGGCTAGAGAACTTTACACACTGTGCAGTGGGACAAAATCTTTTTTTCAGGCTAAAAGGGAATAGGTTACCATTATTTATTTATAAATGCCAGTTGTCTCTAATGGCCTACTGGAAAAGGCACATCAGTTATCTTCCTGCAGGGTGTCTAAAGTGCATGTCAATCACGAAGGAAGTTAAGTCATTTCACTTAAGAAAGAATCCTCTCATTAGGGATTCACCAAATTAATATCATTTATGAGCCACTGACTCTGTATAAAGAACACTTGGAAGTAAGCAGACAAGTTCAAAGAAACCACAGGGATGTACAGCTATAAACCTCCAGTGGCTGATTAATAAAAGAGGGGGAAGCAGAGGAAGAAGAGAAATTAAGCAGCAAAGACTGGCCTTGAGAAGCAAAGACGTTAGGCTTTATTATAGGAACTCCACCTGAGACAGAAAAGTTACTTGGAATGCTACATTGTGCTAGTTGAGAGAGAGAGAGAGACCGGAGAAGATTGAAAAGTCATCCTTGAGAATATCTGTATATATTTGAGAAGTGGAGAGAACAGACAGAGAAGAAGTGAAACATGCAAGTGAATCTAAATATCTGTCTCTACAGTTGCTGTCTCATGTACATATGTTGTTCTTTGGTAAACTGTTGTTGCTACATTCTTCATGTTCAACAACTTGGACTGAATTCTATTAGTAGAGATACTGTGAACATATTTTCCATCTAAGCCATGTGGGTGTGTGGGCATGCAGCGCTGCATTGGGGGCATGCGCCTGAGCCAGTGTTGCTGTCCATTTGCTTTCACTCATAGCTAGAACCCTGTGCTCGTGATGCAGGGCTCCCGCCCACCGCACCAAAAACGAGAGGGAACATTGGGTGAGACAGGTGGAGAGAGGAGGCAAGCCCTGCCATGTCCTACCTTGTGCTCAGTTTCTACACACTGGTTAGAATGCCTGCATAGGCGTCTGTGCACATGGATCCCCATGTTGTGCCCTGTTCACCCCATTGTTCTATAGCAGTGGTTCCCAACCTTGGGTTCCCAGATGTTCTTGGACTAAAACTCCCCGAAGATTTCACCAGTAGCTGTGCTGGGTAGGATTTCTGGGAGCTGTAGTCCAAGAACATCTGGGGACCCAAGGTTGGGAACCATTGTTCTAGAGGCAAATAATAAGTCAGTGCATTTGATGCAGCATTAATTGGATGTGCTCCTTTTTGTGGTCTCCAGTGACAACTCTTTCTGCTACATTTTGTATGAATTGAAGCTTCGCAGTATTCCCCAAAGACTAAAAATCAAACCCGATAATAGCAGATCATGCATGACAATGGCTAGATCAGCTCTCACAAGAAAAGGAGGAATTAGCTTGAACATAGTACTGGCTATCTTTACAGTTTCTGCTGTAAAGCAAAATACTGTAGAGCAAAATAGAAGGCACGTGCAGTGTATAGTGGGCCTGCTCTCTCTCCATCCAGATAAAAGAGAGCTATGAGTTTTTATTAATATGTTGAAGGGTGGGGGTGTTACCTACTTTGAGAGTCATGGCACATCTGTTTATTCTACAGCACATGAGAACTCAAGCTGTGGAAAGAGATTGGAAGCCTGCCAGCAGTGCAAATTAACTGTTGTGCAAAGCTCATTCGTATTACACTTTGTTTACATAGGCAGAGATAGCAACATTAAAAAAAAAAAGAAATCGATAATTTCCTTATCAGATAAAGGCCCTTCAATTACAGCTTTTGGCATAGTGCCTTTGTATAGATTAAATGTTGACTGCTATTGAAACGGAGGGACAAAAGGATATAGGTTATGAACAGGTGTGACCAACAAATGCATGTTGACTTGTAACATTAGCAACAAATATTGTCTAAATTAATTCTGTACCATTTTTGTGGTGCCTGACAGATAGACAGCACAGAAGGCATAACAGCTATCTGGTTGGCTGTGTTGAGCTTGCCAGGGGTCAGAATTTAGGGAAGCACATTCTCAGGTTCAGTCTCTAGCACCTCTGTCAATAGGTCCAGGCAAAAAGTGATGGGAATCCGTCTGTGATCTAGAAAAGCTACTGTTAGTGAGAGTAAATTGGACTGGACTGGATGGACAAGGCAATTTCCTGTCTTTTTCAGCATTCTAGCTAATTGACCAATAATTAATCAGTTATGGTTTGAAAAATTTGCCTCATATCAAAATCTCTTCATGGAAACACAGTGTGGGATAACAGCCAAATAGCTAAAGGTAAAGGTAAAGGTTCCCCTTGACATTTTTAGTTCAGTTGTGTCCAACTCTAGGGGGCGGCGCTCATCCCACTTTTCAAGCCATAGAGCCAGCGCTTGTCTGAAGACAGTTTCCGTTGTCACGTGGCCAGCGTGACTAGGGAATGCCGTTTTACCTTCCCACTGATATGGTACCTATTTATCTACTCGCATTTACATGCTTTTGAACTGCTAGGTTGGCAAGGGGCTGGGACAAAGCGACGGGAGCTCACTCCGTTGCGTGGATTCGATCTTACGACTGCTGGTCTTCTGACCCTGCAGCACAGGCTTCTGCGGTTTAGCCCACAGCGCCACCACCTCCCAGCCAAATAAGCAGGAGCCAAATGAGCTCAGGAAATCATTGCCCTGATCAAAAGCTCCCAGGACTACCTGCCAAACTTGTGTACTAACTCAGAAAAACTTTGCACCATTTTTCTAAGTGCTTACTCCCAGGTACGAACACGTAGGATCCAAACACAATGAACCACGGTGAATCTCAACATTTTAGTAATAACTATTTTTTGCTTTTAGTGCATTTTTAGTACCTATATTTTTATAAAGTCTATTTATTATCTCATTGATCTGGGACTATGATCCACTATGGGCATCAACTTGCTATGCCTGAACATTTGTCCCACTGGTTTTAATGGGAGACAGGTTATTTATTTGCTTAACTATTTCCCATCGAAAACACTTGGACTTAAAAATGCTTATCTTTGGTTGAGCCATGCCAGGTATAATAAAAAGAATTATTTTCATAATTTTCTTAGGCTCTTCTATTCCTTCTCAGGTTTGTCTATTCGAAGTGTATGCTGGAAAGCAGATAGACTTTTAGCAGGGACACAAGACAGTGAAATTTTTGAGGTGATTGTGAGAGAAAGAGACAAGCCAATGCTGATCATGCAAGGTCACTGTGAAGGAGAACTATGGGCTCTGGCAGTCCATCCCAAGAAACCTTTAGTGGTTACGGGCAGTGATGATCGTTCTGTGCGGTAAGTCAAGAGAAGACTTTAAAATATTATAGAAGACTTTAAAATATTGTGATGCCCATTCTTGCTGTATTCTTGCTTTCCAAAAATTAGTCATTGTTTTAAATATCAAGATGCTGGTGGTCAATTCATTGCAAGTTTACACAAAAATTAAAAACTATTCAGCAACATGTATTACCATATTTTTCCTTGTATAAGACGCCCCCATGTATAAGATGCCCCCCCCCACTTTTCTAACCCCAAATTAAGAAATCTAAGTGGGGCTTAGCAAGTATAAGGGGAAGGGATCAACGCACTGCAGGATCGCTTTGATCCCTGCTTTCCCCTCCACTTGTGTTTCTTCTCTCCTCAGCTTATTACCATGTATAAGACGACACTCAATTTTTACTCTAAAGATTTTAGACAAAAGTATAGTCTTATACACAGAAAAAATATGATAATATCACCATCATCCTTGTCGTTTAGGGTTTCCTAGATATAGAATACCAATACTGGTGTTCATATTCCGCCATCTTAGCCCAGGAAAAGGCCTTCTAAGCCACAATTATTGTTATTTTCTTACTAATTATTTTTATTTAAGTTTCTAAAAGAAAAAGAAGGCACCACATGGTAAAAAAGCATACAATCAGCAGTGATCACATTCTGTCAGCACACTCACACATGAGGAAAAGAAAGAAAGGATTAAGACAGGAGGACAAAATAGTATTGGCAGCCCATTTCTGCAGTTTGATTGTTCTGTTGTAGTCTTAAGATTTACAGAGAAAAATGCTGTCAAGATTGGGGCTGTCTGTCCAGTATTCTAGGGGGACGTGAAAAAGATTATAGTTCTGCATCATTTTTCTCAGAGCAGGGGTTTGAGCATTAAATATACTGTACTGAAACATCAGTAAATGATTCCTGTGGCGATCGTGACAATTCCCATCTTTAAAAACTTCTGATCTTTCCTTGACTGTCTGGTTGCTAAATAACTCTTTTTGAAGGATGGAGAAATCCACATAACCTTCCAGTAACTAAACAGAGTGAGCAGATACATTGTAGTAACATTAACAAATGCAAAGTTTAATTGAAAGTTCAATTAACATTAATCATCACCATAATCATCTTGGAACTGCAGAGGTAGATCACTGAGTCCCAGTCCTGTCATGTAAGGAGCACCTACATCTCTGACTAAGCCAGCCCATGCTGGTTCTGGAAAGTGAATTTTGCTATAGAAAATAAAACAGATGTATATATTTCTTGCATCTCCCAGTTCATTATCCTTACATCCCCACTCATGAGCTACTTGGACTAGAGCTCTGAGCCCACCAAATATTGTGTATATAATATTTGTACAATAGAAACAGATGCACAATCCAGGGAGCTGATTAACTGCCCGATACCCCCTAATGCAGAGGTCAGGGAACTTTTTTATCTTTTACCCCCCCCCCCAAAAAATTATATATGCTACCATTACCCCCTTGATTTGAAAGGAAGCATCTCGGTCACGTGCGGCCAGTTGAGCGCTACTGCCGAAGCCTCATCACCCGTGCGCAGGCTGCCTCCGCCGCCGCCATCGCCATGCAGAGGTCAGGGAACTTTTTTATCTTTTACCCCCTCCCCCCCAAAAATTATATATGCTGACATTACCCCCTTGATTTGAAAGGAAGCATCTCGGTCACGTGCGGCCAGTTGAGCGCTGCTGCCGAAGCCTCATCGCCCGTGCGCAGGCTGCCTCCACCGCCGCCGCCGCCTGGCGAGGCCATACTCAGTTCTTAGCCCCCTGTGGGCAGCTCCCCTTCTCCACTGGCAGGCGGCTCCTGGGCGGCCATTGAAGAGCAGCAGGTGTGTCGCCCACCAGGGTGCCCAACGCCACCTCACGATCCAGCACTGCCACGGGCTCCGGCAGCTGCTCGCAGGGGCAGCCGCGTCGGGCTTTGGCATTGGGGCTCCTGCGGGCCTCGCTGTCGAAGCGCCAGCTCCCGCAGGCCTCACCGTCGAAGCAACAGCTGCTGCACAGAGGGCAAGAGGCTCCGCCAGGCCTGACCAGCCAGTGCAGAGGCGGCACCGAAGGAAGCTTTGCGGCCGGGTGAGCACCGCTGCCACCCAGTGGGCTCCTACAGGGATGGGGCATGGGGCGGAGGCATCCTGGCACCAGGAGGCTGAGCCTGGCCTGGGCCGCTGTCATGGCTGTGCCCGCCCCCCCTCCACCATGATCCACCTGGAAGGAGAGGCTCCTCCTGGCCGGGGTGCTCCGGCCACTTGCCTTGGCCTTGCCCTCCACCATGGCCAGCCTCGCTGCCGCATCCTCGGCTGCCCTATGCCACCGGCTGGGGCCCATCACCAGTCGCCAGCTGCGGTAGCTCAGTTGCAGCCAGGCCAGAGAGAAGGTGCCTGGAAGGGGGCAATCAGGCAGCTGGGGACCCCCTCCGGGCAGAAGAGGAGGAAGAGGAAGAGGAGGAGGAGGGAAGGGGTTAGGGTCATGTCCTCATTATCCCCAGGATTTTCATTTTTATTCCATTTGGGGTAATTTCCCCCTGTTCCCTGACCATTGCCCTAATGTGTCTGTGAAGATTCTCAGTCATCCAGGTGAGGTTATCTGGAAGTTGAGTCATGGCAACTCCTAATGTGCTTTTATTATGACGATGCTCAACCACTAATCTTATTTCATGTGAAGCCGTTCTAACTTATAGTAACTTTCTTTGAAGAAGTCTAGATGCTGTGGTGTAACTGCAGCTAAGAACGGCTCCTTGTCACTTTTCTATCTTTCATAAGTAAAAACAGGTATAGCATCACATTTATTTCATTGTTGGCTGCTCTGAAAGGTGGCAAATGCACAATAGAATAAGATGTCTTACATGTTGATTTATTACACATTATTGTGGAGGAAGAGACCCACCTCACCTTTCTCCTCACTCCCCTAATATCAAGAACAATGCCATCTTAAACTAGCTTGTTTCAGTCTCAATTTTATACAATAGTCTCAGTCTTATAAACTATTCATATTTGGGGCCTTTATTATTTTCCTTTATTTTGATTCATTTATTTATTTCACAATTTAAAGTTTCTAATAAGGAAAATCTAAGGTACTCCTGCGCTGTAACAATTCTAATGTAGAGTCAGGTTTATATTTGTCAAATGATGAAATAAACGATACTGAAGTCCATCAATTCATGATCTGCCTAAAGAGTCTTGGTGCAGCAATGTATTACATCAGTTTATTGCCAGCAGAATTCTGTCAGTTCCAAGAAAATACCAAAAAAAGAGAGACTGTTTCCTGGAGACAGATATCTTCTCTTTACTTCTATTCCTGTTGAGCAATGGTAGATGTTTTAGATGTACAATCATGATCTTCTTTTTATTATATATTATTAATGTTTTATCAATGTCAAATAATTTTTGAAAAAATAGAAGAGGAAGGATAGATTAGTCCTCTTATTCCTTACTTAGCACATCTGGGTATAATGACTGTAGAATTATCATCAGACTATATCCTTAGTATAGCATCCAAAGTTATGAAGGTCTAGCAATGTAGGATTGCCATTGAGTTGGAAGATGAGGTGATACCCTTGTAGAGTATGGCATGAAAATAAAACACTTGTCTCTTTAAAAATACAGTGGCCTCCTTTCCCCATTTTTGTAGTAACTGAACTGTCACATTTCTGACATCCTCCGTGAACGCAGCCTGGGAATCCCCCAGTTTTTCTGTTTATTGCACGTGAATTGGAAATTTCTCCTAGGATTGTTAAAAGAGATCAATGACCCATTTACCTTTGTGTTGGCTTTGACACTGTTCATTTAATTATTTATTTAAATATTTCTATCCCACCTTTCTATTCAAAATGACCAAAGGCAGCATGCCATGCCCCAAGTATACAACCTCTTCCCTTAGAAGGATGTCCATGTTCACATGCTCATACGACACTGATGGATCTACCTCACCCATCTCCTCCTTCCCCTGATATCAAAAGGCCAAAATATGGAAGTAATTCCTTATTGAACCTTTTCATCCACTGAGCATCATGGATCATTCCTGATATTTTGAAACTCCTCTTTAAGATTGTCTAGCTCTTAACTATTTTAAAAAAGCTGTTTCTTTTTTACACTGTCTTTTTGATGCTATTGATTATATCTTCATTTGTATTAAAGCTTATAAAATTTATAAATCGTAGATTTTTGCCAACTTAAGGATACTGTGCCAGGGTTTTAGGCCATACTTTTACATTGCACACTGGGAAAAAATTGAATGAACTCAGTAGTGAAAAGAGAAATTCTTTGATAGTGTCTCCTCTCCAGGCTGGGATAAAAACAGCAACCCTGCAATCTTTTGCTAAGCAGTTTAGGTAAAGTGAGGGACATAAAGAAACAGGACAGCAGTTTACAATTGGGAGTGGTGCTGCTGTAAGAAATAAAGGATGTCTGATTATTATCCAGTATTGTTTTGCAGCTTCCAAATTTGCACATTAGCTTTCTTTTATTTGGTGATTGGTTGATGGGAGATAAAACCAGGCTTTGTTTTCATGTTGAATATACAAAAATGGTATAAAGAATGCCATTTCTGTGAAAAATGCATCTTGTCACCTTCTAGTTGTAAAATTGCTGTCGAATGTATTGCCAGATATGAGCCAGGGCATGGCAGCAGGCTAGCTATGGACACATGCAGCCAGTTAATCCTAATAAATTTATTGTAGAGTTCAGAGGATGGGCAAGTACTGTGTACTATTTTTAGAACCTTTTTGTTCAGAGATGACAGTGGGACAAAATAAATACATAAATAACAGTATGTAGACTTTGGGAAGTGGTAGTTTATAAATACTATTGGCTGTCTTCATCTCCAGATCTAGGTTTTTAGGTCCTGAAACTCACTTGATTGTACAATGGGTAAATCACTTCTAAAGGTTGTAATTCAATCTTTGTTTTAATCATTAGAACCTTTTTGTTCAGAGATGACAGTGGGACAAAATAAATACATAAATAACAGTATGTAGACTTTGGGAAGTGGTAGTTTATAAATACTATTGGCTGTCTTCATCTCCAGATCTAGGTTTTTAGGTCCTGAAACTCACTTGATTGTACAATGGGTAAATCACTTCTAAAGGTTGTAATTCAATCTTTGTTTTAATCATATCATTCAAATGAATGTAAATGCTTTACACAATAATAAACCCTATGTTTGAGTGTGTTTAATTGCACAGGGGGATATCTATATCTATATCAGTTAGGTGCATATGAAAGAGATCCACGCATTATAGTTGGAAGAGAAAGTTTAGTGTAGAATTAAATAATCCATGGCCAAGAAAAATTAAATAATAAACATTCTATAATGATAGGCAATCTTATCTAGTCTTTTCTTTCTTGTATAGCTTATGGAGCCTTGCTGACCATGCCTTGATTGCTCGTTGTAATATGGAAGAAGCTGTCCGGAGTGTGTCTTTCAGCCCTGATGGATCTCAGCTGGCACTGGGAATGAAAGATGGCTCTTTCATTGTTCTGAGAGTAAGGTAAGCAGAAAAGGAAAGGGATGTTAAGTCTAACTGAGCAAAACTGAGATGTACCAGTTTTGGAATGATTCAGTGGCCTCTTTCAGACATGTCTAATGAACTGTAGTTTCTCAACTTGAGAATAAATACATGTCATCGTGCTTTCTCTTTCCTCATCCCCTTGCATGCTTAACATTGGCAGTTCTGTCCTGTAGGACTAACCCAAAACTTTTCATGATCAGATCCTGGTTTGATGGCTTGGGTTGCAAAAATGAGTTTAAACCACAATTTCATTGTTCAACACTCAAGGGGAAATTTTCTAACAGTCTAGTACACCATGGTTAATTGTACCAAAATTGTGTTTGCAGTGGGCTACATGGTGTATATTGATTGACTGACTGACTGATTGATTGATTATATTTATACCCCGCCTATCTAGTCATTTCAACCACTCTAGGTATAAGGTAGCTAATGAAATTTTATTGAAGAATGCATGAAATGCAGGATTGTGCACATTCACATGAAGGCATATGGGACTGGCTGTCATGCTTAGTAAGGCTACATGTCAGACACAAATGTTGGTTTTGTGTTATCATTGTTGTTGTTGCTTAGTTGTTAAGTCATGTCCGACTCTTCGTGACCCCATGGATCAGAGCACGCCAGGCCCTCCTGTCTTCCACTGCCTCCCAGAGTTTGATCAAAACTTATCATTAGTGTTATCATTGGCAACACAAAAAAAACCCCTCTGAACTGCTTCCACTGAAGTAGTTCCTTGTAAGAATAAGAAATAGAAACATGAATCTGTAAGAGAACACAGAGAAGTTCAGATTTAAATATAAGTCATAGGTGCTCCTTGATAATAAGAGAAATTAATGTGTAAAGCTTTGTCTGTCCTGATGGATACAAAAAAAAAGTCTCAGAAGAGACATTTAGAGTGTGATCACATGTGGAAAAAGATCACAGTTTGGGCTTCCTCCTGATATTTAAAAGAGTTTTTCCTGAAGATAGCTGCTGTACAAGATAGAGTTGCAGTGGATATTTGCAGAAGCTTCCACTTTAGTGCTACCAATACCTACTGAAACAAAGGTGGAGAAAAGAATTGACTGGACAAAATTGCTTTTGAAAAATGAAAAGCATTTCTTCAAGAAACACACTCATCAAATTTGCTGATGACACAAATCTGGGGGAAATTGCTAATAACTCATAAGATAGGCTCAACATTCAGAAGG